TGGCCGGGCCTGCATCCCCACAGCTGGGCTGGAGGTTTTGTCCAGTAACAGGGCGGCACACTTAGGCAACAGCTTCCACCTGAAAACCTGCAGGGCCCCCTCAGGACATGGCTCCCTGTGGGGCCTGTGTAGCTCCCCCAACCCCGAAACACCCATGAGGAGAGATCAGAGCCGTAGAGACCTGTGAGGAGCTTCCCAGCCCAGGGCCAGGCCAAGCACCAAACACTCCTTGTCTGCTAGTGGGCAGTGAGGGGACGGTGACTGTCTCAGCTCCTCTGAAGACCCTCAGAGGCAGGCCGGAGGAGATTCCCACAGAGGCCAGGGAGGGGTGGCTTCAGGGCAGGGGCCCCAGGGCCAAGTCTGCACAAGGGAGAACCTCCCGCCCGCCCGCCCGGACTTAACTGCAGGCTGCATACCTGCTCCCACGCCGCCTGCCAAGAGAGTCACACATGTGCATCCACTTCTCCTTGTAGCTATGGCAATCAAAACAGGCAAAAGCAACACTTTTTTGCACTATATCTCATGTTGGACACTGATATTTTCTCCAGCTGGGTTTTTCTTAATTTAAGTCAACAAATCAATCTGGAGGCCCACATATGCTAGCGTGTCGGATCCAAGAGAAATGACGCGGAGCAGAGGGGCTCCGGTGTGGGAGGTGTGGTGTCATATGGGGGCCGCTGCCAGCTCCACCCAGACCCGGGGTGAGAGGAGACAGAACTCTGCAGCCCTCACTCCTCATGCTCAGACACCTTCTGTGGGACCAACTCAGAGCTAGCACAATCCTCCCAGCCTCCTCTTGGATACCCTCGTGCTGTGTTCTCCCCAATGTATCAAGATTTGGGGACCCTGTCCTGCACCCTCAGGGCACGGAGGTCTACAAAGCAGGCCTCACTTACCTCATCCCCCACCCAGCGTGGGACTTCCGACACTCAGCAAATGGAAGCCTGAAAGTACATTCTTCACAGGGGTTTGGCTTTGTTTTCAAAAGGGCTCCCAACAACCCTGATGCCACACTGTACAGAATCGATCTTAATTACCAACCATGTGGAATTTTTCCTTGTGGCTTTTTTTCAATGAAAAAAACATTAATGAGAAACTTTAAAGGCTTGTTAGCAGTGTCCTTTCATCAATCAGAGGTGCTGTCAGGCCGGGCTCTGCTGTCAATTTGCACCTCTGCCCAGCGTCCACTTCCTACCTTCTCATCCACCTCGGCCCCACCCCCACCGCAGACCCTTGTCGGGGCCGCCCTGGGTGATGGAGGCCAGACCTTCTCCATCTGTCAGCAGCTGGAGCCGCAGGGTCCCAAGGACTCTGGACGGCCGCCCTTGGTCACCTGGAGACACATCAGGATCTGCAGTTTCTCTGGCCCTGGCTTCCGAGGGCCACCACCCCCTTGCTTCACATAGACAGAGAGACGCTGTTGGCGGGGGCCTTCTGCAGAGTCCTGTTTCAGTTTGTGCTTTTCGAACTGATAAGTAAAACTGACGTGAACTTCAGCTTCTTGAATGTGAACTTTTAATCAAACACCGGTGAAGGAGAAAGAAAATCCCGGATGGCCTGAGGGAGGCCAACCAAATATAAAACCCCTGCCTGAGGGCCCCAGCCACCCTCTGCAACCCCACTGCCTCAGAGCAGCCAGAAAGGATGCAAACAAGACAGGCAGAGGCCCAGAAGCAGAGACTGAAGGGCTCAGTTCCCGACTGGACTTCTAGGGGAGCCCACAGAGGAAAACCGCCCCCTGGAGTCCCACATTAAGCCAATTTGTCTGTCACTCCGGAGTCCTCCCCCATGCTGTCTGAAACCCAAACAGCAGCGGGATCTCAGGAAGCTCCGGGGGGAAGTGAATAATTTTCACATTGATTCAGCTGTGACTTCCTGCACGTCCCGATGGAGGTGAGGTCCAAGCTGGCACTGCCACCATGGTCACAGTTACGACAGACAAGGTGGGTAAGACGGGAGGCAGGAAGGCAGGCGGGGCTGACAGCGCTGTCGGGTCCTTGCAGACCAGATCTTGGGTTACAATGGAGCTTGCAGAAGTTTACCTCGTTGCAAGGACCTCCCCAGGCAGCCTGCCCAGATCGCCCGCAACCTCCCAGGGTTCCCACCTCTCACAGGCCACCGAGCACTCCCAACAGTGTGTGGGCTTTGATCTTGGTCTGCACTTTCACAGGAAGTGAGCTCTGGGATAAAACTGGTGCTCACAAACCATTGAGGAAATACAGCCAGATGTTTTCAAGTGAACATACCCACACTGGACATTCTTTAGGCCCCTTGAACCACAGGATTCAGGGTGACCAGGCAGGGGTGAGCAGTAGCAAGGAGAGAGATGTGTCCTGGAAGACACGAGAGTCACCTACATGATCTGGATCTCCGGCACACAGCTGAGCTGCCAGGGTTGTTCAGGAAGCCGTCTCTGCCAGGCAAGGAGCGTTGGGAGTTAAAAGTACCGTTCAGTTACCGACAGGGCCAGCCTGCCACTTCCCCCAAACGCCTGCTGCCCACCCCTCGCTTCTAGAACTGCAAAATCACAGCCCCCATCACAATCCCTCTTGTAAGAATCCTTCAGATTTCCTTGCACAATTAGTTTGCCGTCTTCGGGTGTGAAGAAGTCAGACTTACGCTGTCACTTCATGACATTCCTCAGGACGTGGTGAAGTGGGTGATGCCTGTGTGACATTTGTGTCCCTGACGGGAGACGGGATAAAAGCTCTCACACTTGCAAACGTGGCCCCAGGAGCAAGGCGTGCCCAGTCTTGCACCCGGCCTCCAGGGGCGTGTGAGGCAGCACAGCCAGCCACGCCACAATCCGTGTCAGCTTTCAAAGCCCCACAGTGCTGGCCGGGGAGGCCTGGCAGGTGAGGGGACCTGGGGCGGAGGCCAAAGAACACAGCTTTCTTGTTTCGACATTTCTTTTTATTTGGAAAATATTTTTGTATTTCTTTGTGCCTTTCCTTTTCCTCTTTATTTGCACAAGCTGCGCTATAACCTTGAGCCGAGCGGCTCTAGGCAACCCGTGCCAGCGTTTCATGTCGGCCTCTGCAGAGCTTGTCCTTGCAGCAGTACATGGCCACGCGGCGTGAGCCCCGCTGCTCTGTCAACGGCCACCTCAGGGCATCTGTGGAGCCTGATGAGACAGTGCGGAGGAGACCCTGGGAGACAGAACAGACACGACTTCTGCACTGCTCCAGGGCGTGGCCCAAGCAGGCCTGTCTGCAGGTCCAGGTTGCCTGAGGCCGCCAGGTCCCCTTGGTGGTGCTGACATGCTGGGGGCTCAGCCCTGGCTGGTCACACCGCCCCCAGCTCCTCTCAGAACCTGGCCCCTCATGGAAATATGGAGGTTGCATGGGAGGTGTGTAGGGCACTCGGGGGCTCCCAGCCCAGGAGGACTCCTTCAGGGCCATATTGGGCCAGCCTGTTCAAGCTCATAGAAAGCAGCAAGGCTGGGGTGTCCCACAGCACTCTGCAGCCACAGCGCCCTCTGTTGGAACGCAAGCACACAGGATGCAATGAGGCCATCGACGTGGAGCTGCATTTGGGAGCCAGGACCCTTCTCTACTGGGGCAGAGGACAAAGGCAGCAATTCCTGGTGACTCTAGGGCAATGGGAGCCAGGTGCACAGCACAACTGAGCTTCGGAGCCCAATGCAGAGGGCACCTGGCCCTCCCCCACACGTCTTCCCAGACTCGTAATATAGACACAGACCCCTTTGCCTTCACAGTGACACCAGGTCAGAGAAGGAGCCAGAACACACTTGAGGCCAGACAGGACGTGCTCCTGTGTGTGCAGCTCAGGGTGCTGCCAGGGCTCTGTCCTGAGAAACCAGGTGTCTCAGACCCATCCTCAGATGGTGGCTTGCCTCACTTCAGAGCGACGAGGATGACCAAGCTCGGGACAACGGTACTAGTCATGCCACTTCACTGTGTTTGAGGAAACACATCCAGAGTCCATTTGACTAATATAAGACAAAGATAAAATAAACGGTGGATTGGGAGAAAGGGCCAGAGTTTGTTTTCCTTGGTGGTTAGGTAACATGTAATGCCAAACACAGCCACACTATGCACATCAGGGGGCTGTGTGTCCTTCTCGGGTGACACATGAAAACCACTTGAGCTTTCCTGCTGGGTCCACACTGTCACAGAGCCTGTGATGAACACAGTGTCCCCTGGATGGCCGGCTGCATCTTCCTTGCTCCACACCCTGAGCTACCGGCCTCCCTCGGTGTTTCAGGCATACTAGGTTTTAAAGCTAAAAGAATGACATGATCAAATGTCAGATGGAGCCAATGGAAGGCCTGGAAACAGTCACCACTGCTGCTGTTGGTGTGAGCTGACCACCACTGTGTGAACTTGGACTTCCAGGCTCAGCTCTGGGGCCTGCAGAAGCCTGTTCCCTACCGACATGCTGCCCAGAGAAAGGAAGAGTGCCTGGGATCTGGCTGGGGGAAAGCCTGCTCTCCCAGGAAGGTGTCAGCCCAGCCAAACCCCGTCCCAGGAGCGGTGCTTCCGATCTGCTTTGGAGCAAGGTCAATTTCTATGGTGCAGAAGGCATGCAGACCTGCCCCGCACCTTCCCCAATCGGGAAGGCAAGTTAGAAAGCCTCTACAGAGTGCCAGCCTCTCTGGCCTGGCCCCTCCTTCAGGGAGACTCATGTGAATGCTAGGAAACACACAGGCATCACCTCAGTGGGGCAAACGCCCAGGAAGGACAGGGGAGACTGCTGGGTGGAGCCCACCATTCAGGGTGGACAACCTGGGACAGCCTGGGTGGGGTCCTGGGGCAGCCAGCTGTTGCCTGTGGGTGCCAGATGCTTCTGCCTTCCTGGGCAGGGCCTCTCAGGCTCCCCAGGCCTTCCCCACTCTCCTGTTCCCGTTTTAACGGGCATTAAAAATGGAACAATGCCTGCGTTAGACAGGAGATCCTACGACACACAGGCCGGCCGGCCGTCTGAACTCATTCTGCTGTAAAGTGTGGAAACAAGAAAGGGCAGACGCGCCACATCCCTCGGGACACATCCAGCTCTTAATACAGTGGTGCCACACGCATCCTGCTTCGGGTGCACCATTACATTTATGTGTCACTCAAATGTTCACTTCAAATACACACACTCAGTTTCGGTCAGCACCCTGGGAGCCAGTGGTGCCAGCAGCTGCCTCGAGCCAGGTCCTGCCTTGACTCGACACCCCGCAATCTGGCTTCCCTGCCTGGGCAGCCTCGTGGGCCAGCAGCCACTCCTTCACGGATCGTCCTCCTGTGTAGTTGCCCAGGGCTCCACCGCTGCAGACCACTCTGTGACATGGGATGAGGATGGGGACCTGAAAAACAGAGGGCACCACCATCGATCTGGCTGCAACCACGAAGGGTCCAGCACCCACCAAGCAAGATTTGGCTGGCTGCTGGCTGCATCCCTGTCCTGTACCCCAATCAAGCCTCGTATCTCTGGGTGCAGTGAGCAGTATATGACGTGGGGCTGCTTCCTCACAGCCCCAAGACTCAGGAGGAGAAAACATCCCTGGGGGACAAGTTTTAGCAGTTAAAATTCCATTTCCAAGATCTGGGGAGATGGAACCTCGTGACATTTGTGAGCTCTAACAGGAAGTTTCAGGGAGGATGGTCTTGACAGGCCATGTTCAGTCCAGGATGGTGATGCCACCCACTCCTGGTTTAGTAAATAAAATTTTATTGGCACATAGCCACCCCTGTGGTCCCATGTCATCTGTGGCTGCTTTGCCAGGCTAAAATATCCAATGTGGCTCTTTATAGGCAGAGCTGGCCAAGGTCCACACATGTCCATGTGCTGGGACATGTTACCCTCCTTTGCCCTCTGGGCACCCAGAGGAGCCTGAGAGGGGCCAGTTGCCATTCTAGTGCCAGCCCATGGGCAGCAGGGCATGGCCAGCTGGTCTCTCAGTCCCAGCAAGGTGCCTAGACCCAGTTCTGTGGCCTCTCACAAAGATAGTTTGGGGAGACAGGGCTGCTTAGCTCTTTAGCCTGAGAGGAAAACTGAGTCCTTACACTCTCATCTCACACCAGCATAGTGCCATCAAAGGCAGGCCACCTGCCAGGGAGAATAAGCCATGACACTCAGACGTCTCTGTAGGTGACCAAGGCAGTGATGCTGATATAGTGCAAGTGTGTGCGTCTGCTCACAGGCTTGGGTCTGTGTGCTCTGAGCCACGTGCCCAAGATCACCAGCAGTGTGAGATGACACCACACCAGTCCCAGAGGTAGGGCAGGCAGGAAAATCCCAGAGTGCCCTACTTGTCTCAAATGGCTCCCCTTGGAAATAGGACCCAGCCCAGTATTTTCCTGGCCTGGGGTCAGCACCATGCAGATCTGTGGCTGACATTCCAGATGCCAAGAGCTCATGAGTGCAGGATTCCAGGCCAGGCTCGTGGCCAAGTGGCTGTGTTCACCACTCCTGCAGCCACACGGGCTATGATCCTGTCTGAGACTTCCCTCTTTGCAGCCCAGCCCACCAGGAAGAGAGAGGCTCTATTCTCTGCAGAGGGCTACGTGCCTTCTCCAGCAGTGGCCCTCAGGGGCAGTCTGCCTTGGTCCTTGTGCTGGTGGCTGGGCTGTGTGGACAAGAAGCAGTCCACAGTCAGTGGAGGCTGGGAAACTCTGGCCTCAGCCACTCTCACTCACAAGGGAGGGAGGGATGGGAATGCCCAGCTCAGCACCTTGCAGGTTCCCGCAGGTGACTAGCCTGTCCCCTGGTGAGGGTGCTCTGATGCCTTCAGAGAGAGGGTCTGTCTATGCCTCTGGGGAGGCCTGAGCCCAGCCACTTGGACTGGAGATGGGGGTCTGATTCTGGCAACAGTTACTGGAAGATGCTCTGGCCATGCCATTCTCCATTCTTGTTTTAATCCTAGTAAAGTTAATATATCTTGGAATCCCCCATCAAATCCTCATTTGGCTCAGAGTATAGGTAGAAAAGTCAGGGACATAATTTATAGTCCCCTGAAAACCACTCTGGTCACCTACGTCTGTCTGGTTGGTGGTGAAACAGTTCACACTCAGCATACTGTGGATAGCCACATCTACAATTGTGTAACTGTCCCCAGTCTGGGGGTACACGTGTGCTGACTTCCCAGAGCACTGGGGGCTCAAAGGCCATTTTTGCTTAAGGATCCCAGCAAGCTGTTCTGAGAAGAGCTGCCGAGGACCAATTCCTCAGGATGGCTATGTGGCAGGGGCTCAGCACAGCCCCATTCCTGTAAGGAAAGGTCTGCCGGGAATCCTGAGGGAACAGTCTCAGTCGTGTGCAGCTCACTGTGACTGGGGAGAAGAGCTTGGGTCCTCAGCCACCAAAGGCCCCAGGCATTTCAATATGGCTGTGCCCCGTCTCCAGAGATGGGGCAGGGCTTAGTGCTCATTCTGGAAGGCTCTGAGCCATCCTGACACAGGAAGGTGCACAGCAGGTGTCTGGGATGGAGTGGGGCTATCTTGGACATCCCAAGGCTCCCTAGTTCTGAGTGCCCTGCTGTGACAGGAAACAGCCATTCCAGTAGGACCCTACAGGCAAGGGTTCCCAGGCTGCCACTGGGACCAACCTGACTCCTGCCTTCTGTCTTCCCTCACTCACCCCGTGGCTCAGAGCTCTCCAGCCCTTGGCCTTTCCCCACCCTGTACGGTAAGTGCACTGGACAAAGTGGGGAGCTGTGTCGCAACAGGAAGCTGTTGGGCACACCAGTCCAGAGCCTCTGAGCTTTGCACCTGGAACCCTCTGCCCGAGGCCCTCGGAGCAGGCCATTCTGTTGTCACCCCACCTGCCAAGTGTGCCCCTCAGGGCCCATGACATAGGTCCCAGACCCATCTTGGACACTGTGCTTAATGAGGTCACTGGGAGCAGGTCCACCTGGTGCTGTCTGGCTGGGCACAAAATAACTGGGAAGTCACGAGCCACTTGTAGATTCAAGCAGGAATGAACTTTATTCCCCAACCCACGCGAACTCTATGGGAACTCCGGGAGAACTCAAAAGTAGCGGGCACCCGAGGCAGCAGGAGCCGCCCCTTCTGGCAAAATGCCAGGCACCATCTTGACCTGGCCGTGGCTCTCAACATCCACCTGTGCCCGACAGCCCGGCCCATCCTGCAGACCAGGTGAAGAGCTCTCTGAGTACACCCAAGCCAGGTATCAAACCCAGGCCACACAAAATCTCTCACCCGAGTTCACACGGCTGCTAAGAGACAAAATATGGCTGAAGCCACTCAGGACTGCCCTGAGGGCTCCACGCATGCACTGCCTCTTCTCCAAGTGGTGGTGGGACCTCGTGGGCTGGTGGCCTGGGCTGGCAGATGATGGGGCCTGGCTTCTCCCACTTCATAGAACTTGGCCTGGTTTGACTACGAATTCTGGGTTAGCATGTGGCATGCAGCAGCTAACCCCAACCTTCTTGGAAGGAGCAGCAGAAAACACTGAGAACAGATACTTACTCTGATGGCTTTCACCAAACATAGCAGTCACTTTAAAAATTAGTTCGAGGACAGTATTAGATAATACCCAGTTCTTAGTTTTGACTGAAAAAGAGGTAGGTGTGTAACTCTATCTAGTTTATAAACATTCAGGCACAATTCCAAGCTCTTACCTAACAGCAGATTCCACAACCGAGCTTTGATTTTTTTTCTCTCCCTCTTGATGAGCTATGAGATTATGGAATCGAGTAAGATGAGCCACCCCCTCCCTCTTCAGTGTATCAATACAGACACTGGGACAGATGGCACAGAGCAATTATGTGACAGCTAGGGCCAGTCTCTGTCTCAAGTATGCACGGATAGGGAGCAGGTGACCTACCAAACGTTACCACTTGAAACAGGGACACTGCTTCTCATCAGTTTTGGTGGCAGGTTTCCGACTATTACAACAATGAAACCCACTAAAATTTATTGGGACCCTGAGGGCATTTTCAAAGGATCTGCACCCTCTCCGCTCTCTTCTTTAAAGCCTGTGCTGCATAAAATGTAATTTTTATCAATAAGCAAGAAGCTCATAATATCACAGCTGCATTGAAATCTTCATGCTGTGAAATCTAATTCATCCAATACACGAATCCATCACTTACGCAGACCCTTTCTCAAATGCTATAAAACTTCCAAACCCATAGATTTGTCTCCAACAAAAATAACATGAAGGGGCCTTTCAATCAATAATGGAATCCCTCTGATTCTGGAACTGGCTGAGTATTTCTTCCAACTTCGCCTTTGTTCTTCTGGGCAGAGCCCACAAGGGAAAAAGCTTGTTTTCACTCGCAGCCTCATCAATACCTAAATCCTGGTGAACAAGTGACACGGAGAAGCTGTAATCAATAGCTCCCTGTGCGTTTTTTTCTTCTGGTCAAATGGTTCAGCTCCACTGACAACCCTGACACTTAGAACATGATGCTAAATCTTTATCAACAGCCATCTGGGTGGCTGGCAGAACAGGACTCGGGGGTCATCAACGCTCATGGCGATCTGCGAGCAAACTCTCTCCTCCGGAATGCGTTGTTTAAAAAAGGTGGGAAACTCTCAAGCTTGTATCGATTGCCTCTGAACTGCATTTAGCAAATTCTGTCTGAGGATGGAACGGAAGGGGGCGTCGTGGAGGGAAGGCAGAGTCTTCAATTCTCGTCATAGGCAACTGACCATCCTCTGGTGCAGGGTGGGGTGTAACCTTCCTCGAAGGTGGCAGGTCCTGCCTGGAAAACTTGGGACAACTCAAGCTCTAAAATGGAGGTGACTCCCACACCACAAAACCCATCCCTACTCTGGATGGGGGTGGTGGGGAGGCAAACCCATGCCAAAGACCAGTGCCGTGACATGCACTGGTCCTGTTTTCGGAGAGCCGCCAAAGGAATGGTTGCCGGAAGAGCTTCCGGGTGTAACACTCCGAATCCCCTTTCTATTCTCCAGCGCACAACTATTGTGCTGAGCCTGATGTGGGACGGGTCTCCCGTGAGCCTGTCTTGACTTGGTGGGAGGTGATATACACAGTGCCATGTCAGCTTAGCTAGCAGATACCCACTGAGGACAGGCCACCAGGCCTGGCTGTCTCTAATAGGGGCACTTTCTCCCTTAAACCTTGGGCTTCCTTCCGACCCTCCCAGTCCAATTAAGGAGGCTTCCAGTGCAGCAAGGAGGGAACCTACCGCCCTGAGCTGCTGCACATGGCACAGCTGCAGGTTATCTTCTCCAGCATCTTGAGCACACCTGCATACAAACTGAAGCTTCTCAGGTATGGTACCTGCTGGCACTGGTAGACGCCTGTAGAAGGCCATGGAAGAGCTCCCCAACATTGAGGCCACCCCTAACATAGGAGGGTCAAGGATTCAGAGAGTGAGAGACAGGTGCCCAGAAAACCTTCCCTCTGATTCACTGACACCCCCTTTCCTGGTTCAGCACATGATGGGGACATCCATATGTGCTCTTTGTGGGCATTAAGAGTTTAAAGCCCGGTGAGACCCTATTTTATAAATTTCAGTGACTGAGGCTGTATCTGAACAGAGACGTTCATAGAGATTAATAGCAGGGGAAAGCCATGCTGGTTTGCAGAACAATAAATGTTTCTGAATATTGCCAGGAGCAGGTCACTAAGCAGTCACAGAATCTCCATCACAGAGTGTGAGGAGGAACTGCTGGCATCACAAAAGGCAGGTGGGAGGTGTGGACAACCTGTGAATGTCAGTCATGGGAGCATGCTTTGGCCATAGATGCAGCCAGTTGTGCACACCAAGGGAGCAAGGAGCACTGACGCGTGCTATGGGATGGCCTCCACCTTCAGGTGTGCAGAAGGAACTGTACAAAATGCCCATTTTCACTGACCCCCCACATTAAATCAGCTGGTTGGTTCTGCTTCCTGCTGCAGGGGAGGCCAGGGGAACGCACAGCCACCTTCTCTCTGGCCTGGGGGAGGAGTCAAGCCTCCATGGGGGAGAAGTCAAGGACCTACTCCACCCAAGGGGCATGCAGAGGAGAGGCACTGCCTTCAGGGGACATGCAGCATCGCAGAAGGAGGTGTCAAGAGTGTGAGCATCCCGCGCTCTCAAGGGGTATTAATGGAGCCACAGAGCAGCAGCATCCGAGCTGCCTCTCCTACCGCAGAGCTCAAGGCTTCAAGATTGAACCATGACCTGGAAGAGGGAGGTGGCTTTCCAAAGCCAGGATGGAGAGTGGGCTTTGTTGAGATGTCAGAAACCATCTTCAGACATCTGATTCGGAAGCATTCCACAGGCACTGTAATGCGCACCTCCGTGCGGGGCCAGTGATATGGCCAGTATCCACAGCACACGCACCTCAAGTACAGGACAGAATGCTGAGCACCACCCACCGTCACCACTGAGCCCAGACAGCAGCAGAGTAGCGGGATGTGGTGTGGTTCATGCGCATCTCACACCACACAAGTTGGGGTATTTCAATATAGCAGAAAATGTCCCCCGAAGAGGGTATACACTGAGACAACGTGCTCCACCACAAACCCAGAGGAGCTGCCTCTTCAAGAATAACAATGCGTCTTGTGCAAAAGGGCTATGTAATTGCCATCTCCTAGAGACCAGAGGGCTCTGCCCTGGGGCTGCTGCAGCTTGTGGCAGGAGCGGCCACTGCGGTGTGAAAACGCCTGCTTCTCCCCTGTGAGCAGGGATGGAAACAGGTTTGGAAACACTGCAAAGGCACAGCAATGTTTTAAAAAGTGAGCTCTATCGGATTGAGTAAGTTCCCATCCCATGATGCGATGATCACAGTGCTCTCCCTGGGAAGGTGGCCTTCTTCTGTCATGTTGGAGACCCATGCCATTCAGGGAGAGGCAGACCTCTGGAAGGGGCTAACAGGTGGGAACATTCCAGGGGCTCTGGAGTGGGGTGGCTCTTTCTGCAGGCTATGTGGACAGGGGACCCTTAATGTCCACCACTGGGTTCCAGTCCTTCCAGCCCTGGCCCTCTTCACCTACTGCATGGAACCAATCTTGCCCACTGGGAGGGGTGGAGGCCCGATGGAGAGTGGGGGGTGGCTCAGCACTGAGCACCCCCACCAGTGGCCCACTGGTCCTATGAGATCAGGACCTGAGACTTCTCTTGGTCTGAGAACCTGGTGCTTGGCAAAACCTGACTAAGACTCATAGTGGTGACCATAGGGAGGGGCAGTCCCGTGAGCTGCTGCATGTGTACTGTCAGTCTTTGGTGAGATAGCGTCTCATGCCCCAGAGGCCCAGGGACCCAGGGTGTACCCCGGGGGAGGTGGGGCCACTCTAACGCCCAGCCATCCTCCTAGAGGGTGAGGGCCACATGCATGGCTTCTGTGTTCTGTCTGCTGCTGTTCTGCACCTGGAGTGTTGGCCACACAACAGCACCACACCCCCCGCGGTGCAGTGAAGAAATGAACAGGACCTTCCATCACCACTCATCCGGTTCTGCCCTCTTTCGTGTTTGCCTGGATGACGAAGGACTCAGGTAGCTGGGGTGCAAGGACCTGTCCCAGGCGCCTCTGTCCTCCACCCAGGTGTACCTCATCCCTGCACATGTGCATGGGCCCACCTGCTGGAACTTACAGGATTGCTTCTCATGGCTCCTCCCACAGCGCGGGCTGCTCTGGGGTTGCCTGCCAGGGCTGCTAATTGCTGGTAAGAAACCGTTTCTCCGAATTTCACAACCTTCAGCAGCTTCCATAACACCTGTCTGGTGAATGAGTCTGAAAGGAAGAATACAGATGACGTTATTTGTACAAATGGTGCCAGCAGCTCTGATATAAATAGCTGCAGTCCGGGATCAGAAAATGCAACGACACAAACAGAGGTGTTATAGTCAATTAAAAGCTGGCCTCCGTCATCCTGGCCAGGCTGGCACAAAGCAGGGCGCGGCCCCTCTGAGCTCATGCAGGATGGTGCGCCACGCTCCTTCCGCAGGTGGCACATGTGCGTCGGGTGTGGTTCAACTAGGGATCGCCAGTGTCCCTGCCAGCCCACCTACCGCAGACCTTTTGGATGGCTGGTTAATTTCCAACTCTAGCTGGGACACAGAGGAAAGAGCAGCCAGGGATGGGCTCTGTGTGACATCACGCAAGCCGTCCTTCCAGCAGTCGGCCGGCTGCAGTCACTGCTCCCAGTGCAAAGCACCACGGCAACAGGTTGGGTGGCGACCTTGGCAAACAGGGCTGCAAAATTAAAACAACTATCCCCCTTTTAATTGACTCCTCGCACGACATCAGACTCATGTATGATGACCTGCTGCTGGAAGGACCAGCAGAACCCTCGACCACCTCTTGCCCTCTACCTCTGGGCTTTAGAACTGTTTCCAGGGCGGGAGCGCCTAGGGCAGAAACCTGGTAGAGGAGCCCATTCTGAATCATTATGTAGGGCCTTTCCAGAAGGGACCGGTGGCTCAGGAGCACTGCAGACAGAGCTACATCCTCCATCCCAGGGCTTGCAGCGCTCGGGGGCAGGCGCGTGTGAACCGCGACCACCAAGGGGAGGCCTCCTTGGGCAGGAGCACTCCAGAGTGCCTCCACAGAGCCCCAGGACTCCCGTGCCAGGCTGGCAAAGTGCGATGTGGTTCTTAAAGGAAACACACCCTTACATGCATGTTAAATAATAAAAATCACTTCTTAACTGAAGGGAACGATAATCACTTCACTGGGAAAAAAAATCTGTTTAGTCTTTATTATAACATTAAGCAAATTAAACATCAGCATAATCCAGGTGATGCTAGAAAAGGGTCATCAAAGAAATTAACTTTGTTGTTCATTAATTTACATGGATTAGTAGAGGGCACAAAGATAGCAAATGTGCTCTAGTTTTTTATGATATAATTTCAAACTGTACACCATTTGTGGCAGGAGGGTGACTTTGGGGTTAATCAGACTGATTTGTCCTTTTAATTGCTTTCTATTCAAAGAAAATTCATTAGATAATGTTCTCTTCAAAATTCATGAATCAATTTAACTGAAGAAACCGCATTAGCAGCTCCGGGTTCATTAGCACGGGTTGTGGGAGTGCTGAGCGCTGGGAGGCTTCCCTGGGCAAACAGACTGTTTACCGTCGCCCCTTCAGAAGGGGTCTGAAGTCACACTGCTAATCGTGATTGTTACTGTTGTTGTTACGCTTAACTTAAAGAAAAGGGAACAGGAGAAGAGGCAAGGTGGCGAGAGGCCGAGGCAGCCCCGTGTCACTTGGGGAAAGGGATCCCCGGTGGGCCCTCCTGGCAAAGCAGCAGCACCCGCAACCCTGGACACAGCAAAACTTAGGGGCCACGCCCCGCCCTCCTTGGAAGGCGCAGGGTCGGTGGACTGTCTTCTGTGCTCTGACCTGGGCAAGGACGTGGCAGAGGTTTCTGGGAGAACAGACTGGAGGTCTTCCTTAAACCTGTCCGAATAAAGCGTGAGGTAGGGAACCCAACTGGAGCAGAGCCGTTCCAGGAAAGAGAGGGGCCACTGAGCTCTCCTCTGACACATGATGCCAGATTCCACAGCACCTTTCTAGGTGGAAAAGCATCACATAACGAAACAATGGCACATCCACATAGGAGCAGATGTATCCAACATGCTCAGCTCATTGTTGGCTCATCATGGGAATAACCGTCTCTGAACAGGTACACACAGTGTGACTTATTAGGCAGCACAGCTCAAAGAATGCAATACATCACAATTGAGCACATCTTATCACAAATGTATCTTAAAATTTTGTTTCACCCTGAAGGGAGCAAGGGTGCTAATTAGTTTGTGCGCCTCTCAAAGGCAAAGCCTCTAGCCCCTGCCTAGGCACAGTCAGACGCTGTACTGCACCAGCATACAAGCAGGGGCCAATGCTTCCCGGCACATCATCCTACAGCGTAGGAAAATTTGCTTATAAAAATCAGCACACATCAGTGTGGAAAATAGAATTTGGTCTTGCAGGACTCCATGTCCTCAGTGCCCAGTCATTTTGGGTGGCTCAAAGGACAACCACTGAAATACCACCCTTCTCCAGTATGGCTCTCCGGGGAGTGGGCCCCAGTGCAGTGAGAGACAGTCTCTGCAGGCCATCTTCTGGTGTTCCTTTCCTTTGCTCCCCACCCCCTTCTCCAGCCTGCTCCAGGCCCCAGGAACCAGGCCGTGTTGATGTGGCTGGGTCTAGGCGGCCTCTGCTGCAGGCCGAGTTGGGTCTCAGAGCTCCCTCCCCTGAGGACAGGGCTGCTCTCATTTGGCTTGGGTGGCTATTTAGACACACACTCTAACCAAATCCACCTGGACGGTGCCTCACCAGCTGGGAGGCTTGAGGCCATTCTTTCGCCCCAGGCTTCGGGGAACAGTGCATGGTGGCTGGTTTTCCACATGTCCGGGAGTTCAAGGTGGCCTGCGGGTGGGCTGCCAGCCAGAGTGGCTCTGATAGGGCAGATGCCACGATGTGCCAGGCATGCAGGAGGAGGAAGCAGTCAGGGATCAGCCTAGCCTGGCTCTGCTTTGCTGATGTCAGGTGAGTCCTTTCTTTGTCCTGGGCATTTGTCCTCCCCTGTGGTGGCATCATGGCCAGAGCCACCTCATCAAACAGGTGCTGCAGAGGGGCCCTCTGTCAGCTGCCCTGTCCCTGATGCTCTTCCCTGGCCAGGCTGCAGTGAAGGAGACAGCTAAGGTGCACACGCCACGTGCCAATGCAGGCCCTGCTCAGGAATCATCCCAGTAGCTGGGCTGTGTCCACGCACTTGGCTGGCCACAGAGACCAGCACCCAGTTGCTGCAGAATTCCCCACCACAGTATCAGCTGGCTGGGATCAGGACTCCTTTGGAGCAGGCATGAGTCCTGGCTATTCGGCCTGATGACACCTGGCCATCAAGAGCGGCCAGAATAAGCCTCTGGAAATGAAGTGCAGCAGAGCGATGGAGGCTCTGGTTCCAGGTGAGAGGAAGCGGCACACTGCTCCCGTCCCTTCCACCGAGCCCCTTCCTGGAACCTGAGCACAGAGATCAGCAGAGTCTAGAGAAGGGGACCTGCCCCACGCTGTCACCTCTGAACAACTGTGCCTCAGCCCTCCCCAGCAATCCTATGGTGGTGTAGTGGAATCCGGTGCCCAAGAGCCTAAACCCCTGAGAAGGAGACGTCCTTTCTGATGGGAAAGTGTGGCCCTGGGAGGTGGCAAAACCCTTTGCTTTTTCCTCTCTGCTGCTCCACCCTGATCTGGGCTCAGTCACTGAAAGTATGTAGCAGAGCTGGGTTCATTAAGCCACACTTTTGTGTCAGGGGACTGAAAAGGAAGCCCTGAGAACTGGAAGCTATGAGGGAGATTGGAAGAAAGAGGAGTCTTTCAACCAAAAGGTTGTTTATACTTTCCTGTGTCCAGGTGAGCTGTTCACATGCTGAGCTGTGCACAGGTGGTTCTGACCGTAAACCAAACTCTGAGAACTGGTATAGGGTTAGGCACTACCAAGTTCAAACTGGGCGTTGAATGGCACAAGATGGACACGGAAATCACAACCCACAGAAGGCCAGGTAGGACCTATGGACTAACTCTAACCAGGCTGATTATCTCCTAAAATGCAAGGTCCAACATTACTTACAGGATTTATGCAAGATCCAGAGTCTTATTCGAGATGATCAGGTTTTAATACAAAATTCCTAAGTGTGCAAACAATTTGAAAAATCCCAACTTGCTGGGGAAAAGATAAATTGTCACGTGCCAAGGCTGAGCTGACACAGAAGTTGAAATCGTTGATAAACACATTAAAGGATGTGTTATAGAAATGCTGCAAGAAGAGAAAACACTCTTGAAACAAATGAAGACCCAAAGCCTCAGCAAAGAAACAGAAGCAAAGGACCATGAAGTAGAAAGTTTAGTGCTGAAAAATAAATAATCCACATTATAAACCACTCTTCATGGGATCAGTCCTCACAAAACATGTGAGGACTCCACAAAGAAAAGAGAACAGATAAATGGCTGCAGCCAAGCCCAGAGAAACCTCCCAAGCTGGAGAGAGAGAGAACATGTACTTAAAAGACCAAGAAGAGTCTTGGGGATATGTGGGACAAAGTTAAAAGATCTAGTGTCCATGTGACTGGATTTCCAGCAGGAGATAGAGTGTGATGTAGGAAAAAAGCAAGCAAGCTAAGATGTCCCCAGTTTGGCAGAAGACATCAACTACAGATTCAAGAAGCACTGCAAACCGCTAGCAGGGCAAGAAGTCCAGTTCCAGACACATGATGATCAAAGGCGGAAAGCTGAGGACCCAGAGGAAGATCTTCAAGGCCACTGGGGAAAGGAGCTCATCCCAGGTGGGAGCAGCGATCTGCGTGGCGGTCAGAACGCCAGCTGGAGGCGGCAGACGGCACTTCCAGTGTCTTGAGAGACAAGAACCAGCAACTCAGAATTCTACATGCAACTCAAGAGATCCTCGAGGAAGGAAGCTGACACGGAGACACTCAGATACAACAGAAAAGCAGAGGTAATTTGCTGTCAGTAGCCCTGATCTTCAGAATGGCTAAAAGCAGTTCTTTAGAAAGAAAGGAAATGGCGCCAGAGGGCAGCCTGGAACTTCAAACAGGCAAAATGAAGAGCCGCGCGGGTAGAGAGCACGCAGCCACCATGCTTTTCAAGTTCTTCAAAACATGCAGCGCAAGTAAAACTGCCCCAGCCAGGGCTCGAGCGCACAGGGGGCCCTGCATACGGTGCTGTCACAGTGGGCGAGGCGCCGGGCCACGCGGGGTGGGTGAAACACACAACCTGG